AGGGTGAAGGAGGGAGGGAGGGAGTGAGGGAGGACAGAAGGGGAAGGAGTGAGGGAGGGAAGAAGGGGAAGGAGTGAGGGAGGGAGTGAGGGAGGACAGAAGGGGAAGGAGTGAGGGAGGACAGAAGGGGAAGGAGTGAGGGAGGGAGTGAGGGAGGACAGAAGGGGAAGGAGTGAGGGAGGACAGAAGAGGATTGCGGCTGAAACGGGGAGGAAACTGATGCGAGGCAGTTGTGTCGAAACTCGATGGATTCGATGGCTTATATCGATCTATTGCCTGTTTCACAGATTCAAAGGATTTTCATCTGGTCACCTGGTCGAAGGATCAAAGCCTCAGGATCTGGAACATAGATTCACACCTGCAAAAGGTAGCATTAACTTTTTCACCCCTTAATTTCACCACATTTTAATGCATGTCCGTCTTGTGACTGCCAATGTGGATACCTCAACATCAAGGAGTAAGAGGGAGGCCCCACATTTAAGTGACAATGTGGACATCTCAACATCAAGTAGTAAGAGGGAGGCCCCACCTTTAAATGACAATGTGGACATCTCAATATCAAGTAGTAAGAGGGAGGCCCCACCTTTAAGTGACAATGTGGACATCTCAACATCAAGTAGTAAGAGGGAGGCTCCCACCTTTAAGTGACAATGTGGACATCTCAACATCAAGTAGTAAGAGGGAGGCCCCCACCTTTAAGTGACAATGTGGACATCTCAACATCAAGTAGTAAGAGGGAGGCCCCCACCTTTAAGTGACAATGTGGACATCTCAACATCAAGAGATAACAAGATGCCCCACCTTTAAATTAAAATGTTGATACCTCACCTTTAAGTGATACCTCATGATAAGAGACCACGTCGTTAATAATTTTCTTGTGTGCAGACGTGTCGTCACGACCTGCTTAACGACTCCGGTAACGAGGCAGACGTCGACTCGGCCGTCGAGGCGATGTCGAACACATCGCGAGACGCCCCCCGCGAGCAGCCGCCCCCCGTTGCCACGGCGACGCGCGCGGCCGCCGCCGTTGCCACGGTGACGTCGCCGGGACAGACGCTGCAGCAGGAGTTCTCTCTCGTTAACATGCAGATTGACAACATCAGCATCGACAGCGTGAGTGTCACCACCACTAACGACAAGGATGATGATGATGATGATAACCATGAATTACTATATATATATATAGTAGAATAAAAAAATAGTGGTGTAATTTGCTGTTTCATTGACGTAGATATTTACAATGAAAAGCAAGATTAAATTAACTTGTGTTTGTTTAAGTATTAGTTTACTTATACCTTTAAGTAATGAGTTTAAGCATGAGCAAAAGCAAGAGCAAAGCATGAGCAAAGCATGAATTTTAATTAACTTAATTTTAGACCATCTGGTTATGCGTGCATGCATGTAGCACTAAGCCACGTTATATATAGATGGATGCTATCATGCTAGCACGGGCTCGTGCACGGTGACGGTGCGTGCGTGCGTGCGTGCGTGCGTGCGTGCCGTGCACGAGCCCGTGCTGGCATCCATCTATAGGTGTGACGAAGAGCAGTGTTATTGACGGTGCGTGC